GAGAGATTCTGGGATATAATGGGATGTATCTAGAACCGACAAAGGCTGCTTCTCTCTTCCTCCAGGTGTCTCCGTCTTCTCAGCCTCCATAACACAAGCAGCAAGATGGCCACATCAATCTTCCATGTGACAGGATCCATAGCAATCAGAAGCTATATGATGTAATCAGATGCTCTCTGTCCTCTCTCTCCAACCATAATGGCAATGAAAAAGGAAGTTTATTCTATTTATTTATGTATTGTGGGAAAATAGGAGTGAAAAAGTCAAGGGGAGTATTTTTTGTCAAAAAAACGCACGTTAAAACGCGCCTAAATGCATCTAAACACAGTTAAACGCGTGTGCAAAACGAGGCCAAAATTTTTTATGCTGCCATTTCCTGGTGGAAGGACTAGCGTTGCAGCTTGTACTTTTTGACACCCTGTGTGCATGAGGCTTGAAGAGGGAACACTGACTTCACACTTGAGAACCCGTGCTTAATCAGACATGTTCGCAACCCACCGGCAAAACATGCTGCTCTTTTGCAGACACATGGGCCTGCCATTAAGAATGAACCCCCACGCATCAAAAACATGGCTTGTTTTTGGATGTGTTAAACTGCATTGTGCCCCAGCACCGGGCACCCATGTTTTTAAAAATGGGCCAGGGACTTTTTCTTAATTCTCCCCACAGGTGCAGCAGCCAATTCAAATGTACTCAAACAAATTGTTTTGTTCAAGTTTGGGAGAGATTGATGAAGAATTAAAATATGTCAGGTTTTTTTTGCTTTCTTTGTCCTCCCTGGAAGATCCTCCCTCACTACCCGTCCTTGTAGCCATTTTCACTGGGACAGAACCTTAAAGGCTAACTCCCTGTTTACTTTTACTTTAAATAATTTGATTGGGCCAAGCCTAGTATCAACTACATACATTATACCGCGCTGTTTCGGCAGGGGTATGGGGACTTTCTGTCTGCCTCCGAAACAAAATTAAGTTGGGCTGAGGGCTGCTCAGCTATTCAGAGGAAGCCTTGTATTTTATCAGTGAATACAAAGCTTCCTCTGATTGGCTAAGGTGGAAAGGAGAATGATATCATGATCTCTACATCTGTAAATCAAAGGAAGACCTCTACTCAATTAAAAAATACAAGGCTTCCTGTGAAAGATTGAACAGTGCTTAGCCCAACTTGATTTTGTATTGGCAACAAGGGAAATCCCCATATCACTGCTGAAACACAGCACTGTATACAGTGTGTAGCTGATACTACAAAGAGTTTTTACAGTGCTGACAGCTTAGTAAAGGACAATGTTTGTTTGGGTCAGCTTGGTCCATAGGAACTATTTCAAGTGAAAGAAAACTTGGAGACAAGCATTTAGGAAATCCAATAGTTTATGGTTGTCACCAAAATAAGAGTAGAAGATAAATCTTTCTATCTGGACACCTGTTGCAATGGGGACATTGCCACTCAAGCCCTGTAGCATCTTTGCGACAACAAGTGAAGCCAAATCTCTTTGATGGAAAGACAGATAGTAATAAACAACTGCCAATCCTTTCAACCCTTTTCTGCCTATCCAAAATGTAAACAAAAAGTTTTGTCAATATGAATTGGCTTATACCAGGGGTCACCAAACTTTTCATTCAAAGGGCCAGTTTACTGTACTTCAGACTTTAGGGGGGGGCCGGATTGTGGTCAGTGGGTGTAGAAAATGTCCCGAGTCCAGCATCAGTAAGAATAAACATAGCCTCAGGGTTGGTGGTCGGTAAAAGGAGGAGTATTGCCCCATCATTGGTATTAGTTGAAGGAATAGTAACCCATCACTGGTAACAGTGGAAGAAATAGTGCACTATTTTTGGTGTGAGTGGGAAGAACAAGGCCTTGTATCATTTAGAGGAATAGTGCCCCAAGGGCCAATTAAAGGCTGGCAAAAGGCAGCATCCAGCCCCGGGCCACACTTTGGAGACCACTGGCTTATACAATACTAAGCGGGTATATATATTTTTTAAATTTAACAGGGCCATGATGTACCGTACTTTGCATGCTGCTTAGTTCTACTGTATAGGAAAACAAGGCTTGTGTTAAATTATGTATGGTCCACATGGGATAGTACTGGTTCTCTTGATATATATGTGTTTTTGTTTCGCTCCCTTCTGTGATAATATTTGGTCTGCTGGGTCAGTGACGGGTTCCTTTCCTTTTGGAGGAATCATCAAAGCATTTAGTATGTCTGATGCCTGTGAGAGGACAAAAGCAGAACTTGCCTGGTATAGACGTGCCAAGCCAATTCAAATACCCTGTGATATTTCCAATTGTTTATCTAGAGCGTTGTTTGCCTGAGACGATAAAGACAACAGCCCATTTCAAACAAGCTGACTTCCAACCCACACAGAATCATGTCCTGTTTGTCTTGAAGTGAGCTAGGGGGTTGCCAGTGTTTGGCAATCAAGTCTCCTGAGAATAAAGCTAGAGGAAAAACAAGAAAGGCTAACGTGGTATTTATCACCTAACCTCCTTCCTTCTTTTAATCAGCACACATTCTCCAACATGAGTTTTCATAACACGATGGATCTTTCTGGATCCGTTACAAATACAAGTGTAAAATCAGTGCATACTAACTAAAGCAACAGATCGCCTTTACATGTCTTTAAAGAGAAACGATCTCTGGAAACTGTCCTCAAAAAAAAGGCAGGAACAGAGCAAGTGACTAGTCACTGGTATTGTCTTTAGTCTTCTGTATTGTTGACTTGCCCTACCTTGTGCTGCATGGGCTTCTTCATATCAGTGCCTCCAGCAAAGAGAACAGTAAGCAACACAGTGAGAATGGGTTCACACTGATGCGGTGCAGGGAAACACTGCAAATCCTGTGCGTTTCCCGCATCGCAAACGCACGGCATTCATGCGATCTGGTGCGGGTGTCAATGTTAAATTAATGACACACCGAAACAGATTGCAAAACGCAATTCATGTGCGGGTAAAACAGAGTCCCGGACCTTTTTGGTGCGGATGCGATGTGATTTGAGCCATACAAAATGTATGGCTCAAATTGTACCTCACAGAGATTGCATGTAATTGGCAAAGGAATGCGGTGCAATTCCTGTACGAATTACATGCGGTATCCCGCACCGCATTAGTGTGAACCCAGTCTTATAGTACTACCAAATCACACTGTATCTCCTGAGAATAGCAGTCAGCGGTAGCAGTGTCTTAGATCTCACACTGAAAATATAAAGCTATGAGATGGCGGAACAGAAGTGCCCAGGCACCTTCACGTACCAAGAAGTGGTCTGCTAGTTTTCTAGAAGTTCCACGTCAACTTTTCAGGGTACTGCATAGGCACAAGTCTTCACTTTTTGGGGTTTACTAAAGGCTGTTCACTTTGCAAGGGAAGTTGCATAATGCAAGGGAATTTTTCCCCGAACATATTGAACATGGTTTTCATTCACTAGGAAAATTGCACTCGCAATATGCAACTTCCCTTGCAAAGTGAATGCTCTGTTTACCCTTAAGCAAATCAACCACTTATAGTTCAATTCCAGTTTATGGGGATCCATGAGATGTCCAAGTTTACATGGTTGAAAGTTCTGCCATTTGCTTTAAAAAAAAAAAAATCAATCCCCTAGAGCCAAAAATCAATGGTATTTACATTCTAGAGGTGAAACTGTAGCCAATAGCTTTTATTTTAAAGTGAACTTGCCATGAGGGAATATTTGAAATGGTATTCCGGCCTCTGCCATTCTCATTCTATGGCTTCACTACTCTGGAGCAAGAATGCAGGTCCAGTCTTTTGCCCTAGTGCTTCAAATAGTGGTGTCCTCTGATGAAGCAATGTGATATTTCCAAAAATGAGATCAATGTACATGCTGTGAGGATCTTAGAAATGGGAAAGAAATTATTTAAAAAAAAAACATAGGCCTGATTGTAATTGCTGCAGTTTGTCTGTCTCCCTCAGACATTATTTGCTTTGTTACTGTATCTAATTTCAATTCAGCTTAAAGGCCACAGAGAACAGCATATATTGATTGGGTGGCGTTTTAAGTAGATAAATTAATACTGATAACAAATTGGATTTGTGGTTTTAGATGACTCCCTTACACATGATTAGCCACAAGAGATTGACTATTTTTGACTGGTTTTGGAATATTACAGATATCATCTTGACCACACCAGAGTTGTTTTACAGGTTTCTGCTTTGAATGAATATTGACGTTTCTTACAAAACAGGATCAAAATAAGTCTTTTTTCAAAAGTAGGTAAGGAGACACTGAATATGAGCCAAGAGTCCCACCTGCAAGCTGGATATGAAATTTCAAAATACTAATATGCAAAAATTAATATTTTTTATTGCATGTTTTATAGCTGACCATAATAACTTAAAGTGCTTCTAAAGGTAGAAGGTTTTTTTTTTACCTTAATGTAATCTCTGCATTAAGGTAAAAAAAAAAAAATTTCTGCAAGCAGCTCCACCCAGCCACTCCAAATACTTACCTGAGCCTGATCTCAGTTCAGCAATGTGCATGAGAGCAGAGGCTCTCTCGGGTCTCTCCCTCCTCATTGGCTCGGGCACAGCAGCGAGAGCCAGTGGCTACTGCTGATGTCAATCACAGCCAGTGAGGAGGGAGCGGGGGGTGAGGCCGAGCTGCACTCTGTATGTCTTATGGTACACACAGCCAGCTTGGGAGCGAGCACGCATGAGTGCCCCCATAACAAGCAACTTGCTATGGGGGCACTCGGTGGGGGAGTGGGGCCAGGAGAGCCAGTGGGGGTTCTAAGAAGCTCCCAGATGGAAAAATCAGAGTATGGGATTTTATGTCAAGGAAACCTTACTCTGGAGTATTCAACACACATTAGAAGTCAGAGATTGTTTCTTGTGGCTGGTGTTTATAAATTAATAAAATATCACTTTTAAGTAGATCGAACTTTCAACGGAAATATACCTTCTTTACTACCCTCCTTTTACATATCTTCTACAAAACTAGGTTAACTTTAATTAGTAGGTTTTACAAATACACAGTGCTATTTTTTCCCACCTGTAGTTAAGTTCTTCACTTCCAAGAGAAAAGGCATCATATAATGAATATGCTTCATTTCCATCCCAGTCTCTTAGCTGGATTCTTAGGTTGTATGAGCCTTGAGATGTCAGTTGGTGGACAAATTCATTACCTAGCCAGTACTCTCCAGAAGTGCTGCCAAAACCCTATTAAAATAATAGGTTACAGTTATCAATAATAAAAAGCTGCTTTCAACACAAGCAAAAGCCATTTTTAAAAACTGTTCCATATCAGCCCTTTTTAAAAATGAATAATACAGAAACATGCAGGAAAAAATAGATTTTGACCCAACTCTTGGCAAATTGGGTGATTCTGATTGTCTAGATCAGGGGTCTCCAAACTTTTCAAACAAAGGGCCATTATACTGTCCTTCAGACTTTAGGAGGGCCGGATTAGAGCCAGTGAGGATAGAAAATGTCCTGGCCCCAGCATCAGTGAGAATAAACATGGCCTCAGGGTTGTTGGTCAGTAGGAGGAGTAGTGCCCCACCATTGGTATTAGTGGGAAGAATAGTACACCATCATTGGTTTCATAGGAAGAAGTACTGCCCCATTGTTGGTCTCAGTTGGAACAATAGTGCCCCAAGGGCCGGATAAAGGGTAGCAAAGGGCCACAACCGGCCCTCAGGAAGCAGTTGGAGACCCCTGATCTAGATTCATGTTTTGTGTGATCTTCTATGGTAGGAAAAAGCTGCATACATAAACAGTGTTCAATTAAAAATGTGTGATTAGCTCTTAAAGATAAAAATAGCTGAATCTGAGAAATCTGACCAGTATGTGAGCTGATTTGCTCATCTCTATCTTTATAATCCTATATAAGGGTTCATACTTGGACATTAAATGCAAAAGTAAATTCAGTTCAGTACACAATTTCAAGCCCCAGGCCAACAGCCCTTGTATTTCATTAGGAAAGTGCACTGAACCCTCCATCATGATGCCCATGTATAGGAAACCAAAATTTTCATTACTTGCACATTAAGCTACAGTACATTCCAATATTTTCAGTTTTACATCTAACATGAACGAAGTGCATATGCTGGATTTGATCCTTAGAAATCTCTATGTAAATAAAACATGAAAACTGAACCACTTAGATTTTTCAAAAGATTAATATATTTGAATTTGAAATGAGTGTGCAGATGTAACATGTATTCCTGTTTCTGTGGTAATGAAAACAACAGAACTATGTGCATAGACATTACTATGTGCTGCATGAACCAGTTAATCTCCCTTGACCCAGTTTATTGCAAACATAGTGAAGTGGTATGTGCAGCTCTTTTACTTACTAATGTATAGCAGATACAGCTGTCAGAAAAGTATATTCTACATGGTATCTATTTTAAGGAAATCATGAAACAAACATTGATATGTGAAACCCATCAAAAAAAAGCTTAGCTGTTAAAATGAAGATAGTTGACCTTCAAGGGCACTATGCACAAATACAGTTATTTTCTAAATGTGACTATACAAAAATGGTAAGGTATATAAAAGGTTAAATGGTATGTTTAAGTGTTCTATGATGGATCTATTCTCAAATATACACTTTTTTCCAAGAAAAAAAAACATGAAATTGTAAAGTCCCCTAAAAAGGAGAAAAGTATATACTGTGCAAATGCTTTAAAACAAGTTACACAAACACAGCAGGGCTCCACTATCAAACGATTAAGCAGTTAGTATTGGCAAATATGAAGGCTAGTTATCAATTGTTCCACTGATATGTGAAGCACTTTAAAAAAAAAAAAAAAAACAAACAAAAAAAAAAAACCTCAGCTGTTCATCTGAGGATAGTTAACCATAAAGGACACATTTGAAAATACCAGTTTTAAATTAGGTCACAGTGTTAGTTTTATTTTCCCCACATTTTTTCTTTATTTCCTGGTAATTATTGGAATAGAGTTCTTCCTGTCCCTGGGTGGCTACACTCACTGATCCACAGTATCTAAGGAGGACGACTTGATAGCCATGTAGGTTGGATTAAAAAATTATCTTTCTTTGTTCATCTTCATTACATGGAAGGAGAGCTGCTGTTAGAAATCATGAGGCCCTATGCAGCCAACCTGACAGGGCCCCCCTTCTGCCCAAAAAAACACAGTTTACTATGCTTAATTTATGAATGAACACAGTGAGTGATTGGTACTGATCACTCATTGGGCTTGATTTACTAAAACTGGAGAGTGTAAAATCTGACACAGCTCTGTACAGAAACCAATCAGCTTCCAACTTTTTTTTTTTTTTTTGTCAAAGCCTAATTGAACAAGTTGAAGTTAGAATCTGTTTGGCTACCATGCACAGCTGCACCAGACTTTGCACTCTCCAGTTTTAGTAAATCAACCTCATTGCATTCATTCAGGAAAGGAAGGGACTGGTAAATGTGACATAATTACCGGATCTTTCCTCCACTCTTCATCCTGATGGATCCTATTTTGTACTTGCAGCTGCCAGAGAGGGAAGGAGAGGAGGGAGGAGGGAAGCCAGCAGCATTGAGGGGTGGGGGCACACAGGGGGGCCTTGGCAGCAGGGGAATACATATTGTGCACAGGGAGGGTGATGGGTACAGGGGGGGGGGGGGGGGGGGGGGGGGCAATTACTGGAACTGATGTATACCTCTCTCTGCAGCAGCTGAAATCCAGCGGGAGAGAGAGGAGAAGAAGCCAGCTTTCAGCTACTGCAGAGAGGACCATACAGGGGACCAGTTCCAGTAATTGCTTCCCCACTGTGCCAATCACCCTCCCTGCCCACATCCAATTCACCCAACTGCCTAAGCCCCCCTGCTGGCATGGGCCCCATACAGGAGAACTGGTGGTACCCCCTTATCCACGACCCTGCATGGGAGTGGGGATTAGTAGCTTACAGAAGGATGATAACATTGTTTGTGCTTTTAGCTCATCTCATAGAATATAATAAGGACACTACATTTCTGGCAATATCAACAGGTATTCCTGTTCTTGTCAAAAATGCTTTTAGCCTGCAAAATATAAACAAATGAAGCTATCTGCATCTAAGGACTGGTAAGCTTCCATACATTCAGTTTTTGTTCTTGAGTTTAGATATCCTTTAACCTACAAGGCAGCCTTAATACAGAGAGCCTGAGCTATAGGAGAACCTGAAAAATATCTGAAATGCATTGTAAAATATCTCAACTTACTGACAAATTTCATGGAGGAAACAGGCAGACTTACAGTTGCAGGGAGTCTTCTTACTGTATGTAAGTATGCATTGCATACTTGCCCATTATAGCTAACTATCAAATCCCATACTTAGGATGACAGGGAAAGCGGCATAGAGGAGCTGGTGGCTCAGTTCAGAGATGGCAGGGGATGTCTCCACTGAGAGATATTCCTTTTTTAACTTGAAACTGCAGCATATTTCCATGTCTTCATTAGCTTCTCCTTTCAGCAGATTGTAGATACAGGATAACGCCAATCTCCTTTGACATCATTGAGCTAAACACCAGCATATTTACTACTGCTGCGAGTGCTCCTCTATGTGGCTTCCCGTGCCACCCCCAGGATGATATATAATATTAAAAAAGGCAGTTTGGAGAACCTAACTCCCTCCAGGTTTAGTTTTTTTGTAGACAGAGGCTGAGTAGCAGCCTGGGATAAGTCAGCCTGTGAGCGAGGCAGAAGTTCACCTCAGGACAGGTTGGGGAGGCTCTAACAGGTTAGGGCTTCTTGAGCCTTCCCACCCTTCCAGAAACATAGAGAATTTTCTGGAAGAAGGGTGGAGGAGGCCCAGGTCTGCATGTTTAAGGGACCTTGGTCAATCCCCAGGTAGGAGGCTGGGCATGGTGACCAAGGACAACCCTTAAAAGTGAAGAGCCTATGCAGCAGGGTCAGTGTTGGGTGGAAGATGGAGTGAGGAAGGCTGGAGTGTATACCCTGGGAGGGGGCCCACCTACAGGCTGGTTGCTGGATGAGAGGATCTCTACTGTCTCAATGTCTTCTGAGGAGGATAACCTAAGTAGCAGGGAAGGAGCCAGCACAGCAAAAGGCCTGAAGGCAGCCACCAACCCATTAAGCTAACAGGAGAGGACAGTGTGAGCACTCTTACACCCCCTTGGCCAGATAATGGGAGAGGGCAATCAGGTGCAAGACCGACTAGCTTCTCATCCGGGACTGTTTCAGATTGGCAGCTCTTGGGCCCCCTGTGTCCAGGGATACCCTCAATGCAGCTGGGTGAAGAGGAGGAATCATCCAGTGTCTGAGGAAGCACACCGAAGGGGCATTAGTGCTCCTTGAATAGAGAATGTTGCTATCCACATTTTTGTACATAGTTGCTAAGGAGTCCTTAGTTTTTCTACAGTACCTTGGGCAACCCCCTAATAAAATCACAAAATCAAGCTCAAGGACTGTTTACTGACTACAGTGTGCAAAGTGTGGAAGAAAATGCATGTTGCCTGGCTGTGCAGAGCTTTAGGGGGAAACCAAAACTCAGCAACTCCTAAGGGAGGGTGCTGCATTATACAAATATAATGTGTTGTAGAAAAAGGGGCAGTGAGGAATGAAGAGGGAGAGCAGCAAGAACTGTGATAAGCACAAAATGGAATTCAACTTAGTCCAATTCTTTGAAATGTATAGTCCTTGTAACCTAAACAATAACAATATATAGAGATAGAGGGCAACCATGTAAGTAGCATTATGAATTAACTTGTTATTGGTCTGGTCATAGGGTCTTTGAATGACTTTCTTAATTGAGCATGAAGGAATTTTAAGGTTAGGCAATGGTTAACATATTATACAATACAGAACAGGTTAAAAAGGGTACTTCTTACTTCTCTGTATTCTTTCCAGGTTCGGTGGAAATTTACAGATCCATCCTTGCGATGTTGGATAACAGTCCAACCTCCTCCACTAGTATCCATATCACACAATGCCTGCAAAAGTCCAAGAAACATAAAAAAATTGGAATATGTTGTTTTCTGGCAAAGCAGGATGGAATATCTGATGAGTTGCTGCTTAGTCACTTTTTATTGATGGCTGTGTACCAAGTATTATAAATAGACAATGTATTTTTTTTTCTTCCTTCATGTTTTTTCTCAACATGTAGAATGCAGAAAGATGATGTGGACATAAGTTTATATTCTATACTTTAGCTTAAAAAAGAGCAGCAGGGCAGTTCTGCACAATTTGCTGCGCCTAGGAACACCTGTACGTCATGCCCACTGGTTCTCAAACTTGGGAATATGGGATATTTCTGGTGGTGCCACTGCAGCTAGCTGCACTCACACCTGCCAGAGGGCACATGGGCACAGCATATCCCATGTCTCTCCGTAAAGTCTGCAAGCTGCTCTAGTGCTGCACGAACATTTAAATTGTGAGCACATATGTACTTAATAGAACCTCAGAGTAATGTACGGGGAGAGATGTTCTGTCACCCTGGAGACATTGTAGAGGAGGCAGAGGAGATGACAAATTATAGGTTGAGGTATTGGAAGTTATCCCAGGGAGGGAGAATAATGAGTATCGGATGTGACAGGGATGAGGAGAGGTGTCAGATGGTGTTACATGATGAGAAAGGGTACCAAACATTGTCACAGGGGTGAAGAGTGGTAGTAGATGATATCAGATGACAGATGAGGGTTACAAAACAAAAAAAACAAAAAAGTGTGAAGAAGGGTGCCAGACTGTGTCAAAATAATGAGGAGGGGTACGAGATGGTGCCACCGAGGTGAACAGGGGCACAAGATGGTATCACAGTGGTTAGGAGGGGTACCAGATGGAGTCACAGGTGTGGAGAGGGGTACCAGATGGTGTCACATGGATATATATATATATATGCAAAGTTTGAGAACCACTGTTTTAGCCTCAAGACAGTCTCAGAAGTTTGATTGGCATACCCTGTCCACATCTGTTTATAATCACTAGACTGCATTGATGGGGTCAGTGGTAGGATCTAGGATCAGGAAAAACATTGGATGGATGAAACAGAGGGTTTAACACAAAAGAACTAAAGAATGACTGCTGTAAGTACTATATCATTCATAACTGGTTCCATACTATAGAGTTCCAGGCCTAGAGTGCTTGGGTACCCAGTGTCTACAGGAGTCATGTCAAAGACTATCTGCAAGCTGGTAGACTGTAGATGCAAATGGGAGATCTACACATCCAACAGGAGTCTGGCCTTCCAGTGTCAAGCAGATCAGATGTGCATCCACACCTGCCAGAGGGCACCTGGTCACAGCTTATCCCATGTCTCTCTGTAAAGTCTGCAAGCTGCTCTAACATTTAAATTGTGAGGACATACTGTATGTAATGGAAAGACCCTCAAAGCAACTTGTTCAGAAATTCCAAGAGTCTTAAATAATGTATACTTTCTCAACCAATTATAGGGTGAATTTATGGAATTTCTACTTCTCCATACATAGAGAACCATCATCAAAAGGTACATTGGTTTTCAGCCCTGTATTGAGTGCAGAAAAACTTTATTATTCACTGCTGGTGACTCAGGAAGTGACATCACAGGTCTCATGCAGCCGCATGAACAGGAAATCTTTTGTTTACTCAAAGCTAGGCGGGGAACCAGTAAGTGTAGACACTTGCCTATACAGCTCTGCATGGAGAGGTTTGTCACGGTTATATCTGATTTCATGCACTTTACTTGGATTTCCAACGAGATAAGCAAGTTTACTCTGTCAGTCTTGAGCACAAAATTAACATGCACAAACTATATTTAATCAAAAGGTTCAGAGTATGATTATTATGGAATTAATAGGTAACACCGATGAGTTTAGAGGTTTTGTCACCACTGAATCTGAGTGGGTGGGTGCGAGATAAGAAGCACGGAGCTGCATAGTAAGCAAGCACTGCATACTGCAATAGGATTCCTAATTTTCTTTAAAAAAAAAAAAAAAGACCAAATTGTGAAAAGATGTAGTAATGTTCTTATAACTAATTACTTCTTCCTAATTCTAGCCCATCAAGATTCTTTCCTCTTCGACCTTCTAAATTATTCTGTTGCAACAGAGAAAAAGCATAACCATAGAACACAACGCTACCAGTTGTCTAAACATAGTCTATATTTCAAGGTACATGCAGCATGTTAGTTCTCATCTGTGATAATTCTAGGTGATAAGTAAATATACTTCTATCATAGTCATATGCTGAATGTGAGCAAGCACATAATTACTACTGACTAGGAGGTGGTGATGGGTTGATGACATGACAGCTTAGATGCTGGGTTAGCAAAGTGTTGACTTTAAAAATGAAAAGAAATATAAGACCTTGCCATTGTTGACCTCCTGCAAATGTTAGTTACCTGGCCTTTGTGTTGGCCCTCACATGAGTCACTGGCCTGGAATAAGTATGCAGATCAAAAAAATCAGAGAGAAGTCTTGGTCTGCTAATTGGTTCCAGGTTATTGATTCAAAATATTGATGCTAGACTGCTGAATAAATTTATATTTGTATATACACACATATGAAAATTGTACCTATCAGTGGCAAAGTGAACTGATTTTAAGAGGGAGATTTACTAAAATGGGAGCACTTGGAATCTGATGCAGCTGTGCAAGGTAGCCAATCAGCTTCTAACTTCAGCTTGTTCATTTGAGCTTTGACAATAAAACCTGGAAGTTGATTGGTGTCTGTGTAAAGCTGCATCAGATTTTGTACACTCCAGTTTTAGTAAATCTCCCCTTAAGTGACCTTTTTTTTTCTGCCCCTCTGCACTTTCAATAATGAAAATAATAATGCACTTTTCAATAATGAAAATGTATAGCACTGGTCTGTTTGCTGTTTAATGTAACACTATCCACAAGTGTTGTGCCTAATGAATTCTATTGGTATAAAAAGAACGATAAATACTATTTAACAGAAGAAGCAGGTGGCTTCTATTTTGCAGTGGTCAAATTCTTTGCACATGTGGAATGCACAATGTTTGAGGTCTCAGTAATTATAATTTTCAGGCGGTATTCAAGTCAACGTGCTAAACACTTCTTATCCTGCCACAATGAACAATCTATCATCCATACAATTAAGTAGTTTAACACCTTCTCCAGTACAGCACAATTCATATTTGTCAAACAAGACGTATATGTAGTTCTACTTAAGTGTTGATAATGGTCACTGTTGCCCTCTTTCTGTAACTTATTAATGGTGTGCTAACATGCATTATTTGCTCTTTCATTTCACCCCGGAAACCATCTAAACAGAAAAAAGTATCATCAAAATGTACAGCTGGGTGGTATGCTTTGTGTAACTTTAGACAGCTACTATTATTCATCAAAAACTCTAGTGTTAACACATGTTCTGCAAGTACCCATATGGACTCCAGAAAATTCCATTTTTAATGACACTCATTTGGCCAACAAAAGTGCTGAAAATATTTGATGCTTTTTTTTTGTATTTTAAGTTTTTCTTCTTGTATGATATGTGAATCTGGACTTTTGTTTAATTTGCACACTTTCCTACATTAGCAGCACATTGCTAACAGTTTAGCTGCTCACCTGGTAAAACAAATGATGCTTACACAATTTGTAAAAAAAAATCTGTGTTTGATACAGGGCCAGATCTAGACTGTCTAATGTGGGGATGCAGTTAAAAAAGTCAGGGGGCAGAGGATGGGAGGTCAATAGGGGAGTGTACAGGATGTCAGCAGAGCAGAAGATAGGGTCAGCAGTTTGTAGGGTAGTGTACAGAGGCCATTTACTTGTAGGGCATCATACAGGGGACTGCAAGGCAAAGACCAGGGATCAACACAGCAGAGAACGGGAGTCAGCAGAGCTGAGGACGGCGGTAAGCAGAGCGGAGGATGGGGGTCAGCAGAGCCGAGGACAAGGGTCAGCAGAGCCGAGGACAAGGGGCAGCAGAGCCGAGGACAAGGGTCAGCAGTGCACTATTGGCAGAGCACTCAGCATAGGACAAGGGTCACTGCTTGCAGAGCACTCAGCAGAGCACCTTTTCCCATCCCTGCACTGCACATAATCTTCTCCTCCCCACACACTGCACATAACGGAGATTGGATTCCCATACACACAACCACAGTGTGTAGCTGGCTACTGCAGCTGTGCAGCCATTTACTGATGGGCCGAACACCCTCATGTTCAGTTCGCGGTCGAATGTTCAAACCTAATGAACATTCGACCGCAAACCTCAAACACAATGCAAGGCTATGGGACTTGAACATGTAAATTCAAAAGTGCCCATTTTGAAGGCTTATATGCTAGTCATTTTTCATTGCAGTGTGGGGTCTGGTAGGAAGGTTAGGAGAGACCCCACAGTAAAAAAAAAATTTAAAACATGCATGGCGTTCCACCTAAATCCCTACAAGACACTTGATTCGAGCACAGGCTTGGCAGGGCAGGATCGAGCGCCCCCTACCCCGCAGCTCACCAGGCCACTTGAACTTGACTGACCCGTCCTCACCCGCAGCAATATGACAAGTCTGACAGTTGCCGGTCAGATGTAAACAAATAGGCGTGGGTAGTGGTGACATCACCCGACTGGCAGACCGACCACCCCATGAACTGCCTGAACGTGGCTGATGTCATGCCGATGTCAAGATCAGGGGCAGATCCAGGTTTGTGCCTACCCCATCGTACAGTGGGGGGGGGGGCTCTCATTGTACCCCCCCAGATAAATTATTATGGGCGGCAGAGATATCATTTATGGGGGTGATAAATTATTATAGAGGAGGAGAAGGGCAGACAAACTATCATTTGGGGGGGATTTTTATAGGGATGAGGGGCAGATTATTTGGGGGGGTAATCATCATTATTGGGGGGCAGATTTATTTTTATGGGGGTGATAGGTCATTATAGAGGGGGTAATCATTATTGAGGGCAGATGTATTTTTATGGGGGGTGATAGGTCATTATAGAGGGGGGGTAATCATCATTATTGGGGCAGATGTATTTTTATGGGGGTGATAGGTCATTATAGAGGGGGGGTAATCATCATTATTGGGGGCAGATGTATTTTTATGGGGTGATAGGTCATTATAGATGGGGGTGGGGTAAGCATCATTATTGGGGGCAGATGTATTTTTATGGGGGTGATAAAAATATTTCACAATATATAATTATATATTGTTTTTGTGATTAATCACTATGCTTTAATTATGTTCAATTTGTAACAATGAAAATACATCCTGCATATCAGATATTTACATTTCGATTCATAATAGTAACAAAATTACAGTTATGAAGTAGCAACGAAAATAATTTCATGGGGGGGTCGCCACAAACATGAGGATCTGTATTAAAGGGTTGCAGTATTAGGAAGGTTGAGAACCACTGCTTTAGTGAATGAGTAGGAGTACAAGTACCCCTTACTCATTCACAAGGGGGGGCAGCATCAGGGTTCCCCCTTATTTAAAGTGCAGTGTTAGCAGCCTTATATACTGTAGTGTGGGGCGGGGACTTGAGCCATGATTGGCCAAAGTCACCATGCATTGTGCTGTGATTGGCCAAAGCATTGCACCTGACCTGTGGTTAGGTGCATTGCTTTGGCCAATCATGGCTCTCACAATGCACTGTCAGAGTGCAGTGTATTGTGGGGAACTTGGCGGGTGAATAGCCTGCTGAAAGCCCTTACCCTTCGTGTGTTTGGCGGAATTTTCGAGTCGAACTTACATTTGACTCGAACATTGAGCCCAACACTACTGCCATTCTGACCAGAAACTTTGACAGGTCAGAACTGCAACAAACATACAAACTGTGCAGATTGTGGCTGTGTGTACGGGAATCTGATCTTAGCTCTGCTGCCAGTGCCCAGGCTGTGTGCAGTACAGAGATGGGAGGAGTTCAGCATAGTTGCCAAAATTCACAGTCAGCTTTTTTCGCTGTGTGTCCAGAAAGCCATTGTAGATGGAGAATGTACTCTAATTAGGGATGGGGCATTTATTTAAAACAGGCAAGGTTTTACAAGCAGCATATCATTAACCTAATGACATACTTTATTTAAACATATATAAGAGAACTGTAGTTATGCTAGGGCACAGGGGCGGACTGACAACTCATGGGACCCCGGGCAATAGGGAATCATGGGGCCCCTGTGTCCTCACCCACACTCAAAAAAAGCCTTTGAAAGGTACTAGGGGCATCTCATGGGGCCCCCTACAGACCCTTGTGCCCGAGTGCACAAATGGTCAGTCCGCCCCTCCTAGGGCAGCATAATGTAAGGCTAGAACAGTATAGTGGCAGTATTTGTGGCATGTTAGGTCAGTACAGTGGCACGTTGGAGCAGTACAGTGGCAGGTTAGAGCAGTGTAGTGGCAGGTTAGAGCAGTATTGTGGTAGGTTAGAGCACTATAGTGGCAGGTTAGAGCAGTATTGTGGCAGGTTAGAGCACTATAGTGGCAGGTTAGAGCAGTATTGTGGCAGGTTAGAGCACTATAGTGGCAGGCTGGGGCAGTATAGTGTTAGGTTAAAGCAGTATAGTGGCAGGCTGGGGCAGTATAGTGGCAAATTAGGGCAGTATAGTTGCAGGTTAGAGCAGTACAGTGGCAGGTGGGGGACAATACAGTGGCAGGTGGGGGGACAGTACAGTGGCAGTCAGAAGCAGTGAATGGTAGGTTAGGGCAGTATAGTGGCAGTATAGTTTCAGGCTAAGACAGCATAGTGTCAGGCTAGGACAGTATTGTGGCAGGCCAAGGCAGTGTAGTGGCAGGCTAGGGCAGTATAGTGGCAGGCTAGGGCAGTATATTGGCAAGTTAGAACAGTATAGTGGCAGGCTAGGGCAGTGTACGGCAGGCTAGGGCAGTACAGTGGCAGGTTAGGGCATATAGTGGCAGGTTAGAGTGGCATAGTGGCTGTATAGTGGCAGGCTAAGACAGTATAGTGGCAGGATCATGTCAGGCTAGGGCAGTATAGAGACAAGCTAGGGCAGTATTGTGGCAGGCAAGGGCACTAAGTGGCAGGTAGGGACAGTGTAGCGTCAGGTTAGAGTGTTATAGTGGCAGGGTAGGGTAGTATATTGGCAGTGTAATGGCTTGCTAGGGCAGTATAGTGGCAAGTTAGAGCAGTATAGTGGCAGGCTAGCACAGTATGGTGGTAGTATAGTGACAGGCTAGGGAGTATACTGGCAAGTTAGGGCAATATAGTAGACCAGATTAGTGGCAGGCTAGAGCTGCATATAATAACAGTGTGTTCAGACTCTTATAGCCTGGCTGGTGATGAAGACTCCTTCATCACCAGCCAGGCTATGCTGTGTCTACTCTCCTTTTTTTACCTTCTAGGCTGAGTGAAGGCATGTGTGGGAGGAGTGGAGGAGACAGCCACAACCCCAGCCCCACCCACCAACTCCGGCTGCCTTCGGAGATAGTGAAGATACCCAGGGATAACCTAATAGTATTAGATGACAGTGGAGAGGTACAGGCAAGCCTCCTCCACCCCCTAGGCCTCCTGCTGATCCATTGATCGACTTAGCTAAAGTAGTACATTTACAAAGCTGCAAGGACAGGGAAAATGCAGTTGTCTAAAGTATGGGTCAACAGCCAGGCACAGCATCCATGGTGGAGGAGGGTGGGAGCTGTCTTTGGGGGGGGGGGGGGCAACTGAAATCTGGGGGCATAGCCCATCTCTGCACCCTTTTAGATCCGGTAACCCTGGTCCTTTGCATGAATAAAAAATAATTCTACAGTCTGAAAATTTTCTTTCTCCAAGAACAAGTTTTATTGTTATTGAAAAGTTTGTAACATCTGCAACTGTCTGTGCTTCTGTAAGAGCTGCTTTCTACTATTCCTGATCACGTTCAATAAATTAAGACTTCCGCAATCGACACCAAACCGCATGTAGAACCCTCCTAGTTTAATTTCTATAGTTTAGGCAAATTTAGTTTTTGGCTCCCCTGTAGCAGAGGGACTCATGCTCAATTATTTTTGGATGTTCTAGGTCCTACTGGTGCAAGCTGAACTACTTTCCCTGGTATTCCAGTAAGTGCTGGAAAATTGTGAGTGAGAGAGGCAGACCCTTACCTGAATATCCGCACAGCCTCAGACAATTCCTGATCAGGAGAGTGACCAGTAGGGGGCTGAGAGGTCTATAAATGGTAGACCTAGAACAGCAGGACCTTATTCCTTTTGGAGATGACCCAGCCTGAGGGGCTAAAACCTCTGGGCTCCAGCTAATTAAACAACACAAAAGCAGTGCAGGCAGTTTTGCAGGGATCCAAGCTCCAGGAGAGGTACAGTAACTACTGAAGCCTTTGGGCAGGGGGGGGGGGATGCCCAGTCGGGCAGCTAAGCTAAAGAGCCTCCTTTTGCAGAGGATCCAAGCTGGAGGTACAGTAACTACTAGCCTTAAGGATCATAGAGGATGTCCTTGTCACCTTTGTGAGAGCTCACTACAGTTCTGACTTGTTATACCTCTGCCAAAGGGTTCCCTTTGTTGTAGTTCTCAGATTCTGAATTGCACCCTGAAGAAACCAAATAGTTGCAGGTGTCCACCTTTGTGTTTCTTCTGGTTTTATCCCAAAGCTCACACCCCCACCCTACCCAAGGTAAACCAACAAACTGCAAAAAGACATACATGGCCTGTTTCTGATTTGAGTGACTGAGAACTACTGTGTTTCTGGCTGCCATGTGCCTTACATGGAATTAAACCTGGGATATTACAGCCAGCCTGTTTGGAGGGGGGGGGGGGGTATGTGCTACACACATGTGCACTGATAGCATAAGTGACTTCTATTGGAGCGGGGTGTGTTGATCATTGCTGAGTTCGACGAGAGTGTAGCATAACGCACTTGTACAGTTACACACAATGTGCAAATGACTTCATAATATTTGATGTTATCATGCTTGTCATTTACTGAGAAGCTGCCAGTGCTTGGAGTATGTGGATGGGGTAAGTATGTTGGATTTAAGGCATAAGATTTGCATTTACTGAAGGATACATTGCTGGTGGATACAGGGAGGAAAGTGCTTGTGTTGGCTGCAGAGGATTAAGGATGCATATTTGCATTAGATATCTGTATATTTCGGTAGGGATACTGATCTTGGAGATTACAGAACATTGGGTGGAAGAGTGAATGTAGAGGCAGGTGCAGTGGGTTCTAATGGGGTGCTTACTCCAGAGCATGTAGGGGAAGGAGGAGAACATGGGTACCTTCTGGAAGTGAATGTTTAACCCTGTATATCATGTTTTGCAAATAAATGTGGAACATAAAAGGGGGGGAGGGGGCGGGTGGGGGGCGGGGGGGGGTGTGCTCTGGGAGGGGGGGGGGGGGGCTGTTTGGGGACTAAAAATTCTAAAACCACACTGTTTGAGCAAGCTGCTTATGTACACTGAATGTGGTAGCTACTCACTTTTATTGTATCTGTAGAATTAGAAAAGCGTAAAGTATAGGCTCCATTTGATGTTAGTCCAGCTTTATAGGCATCTGCACAGTCTCGGAAAGACATCAGCTCTTCCTTTGGTATGACAGGAATATCTAGAAAAAACATATAGAACATGTAATTAAGAGCAGACTGGGGGGAAAAATGGACAACATAAACATTATGTACTTATAAAAAATATTTGTTAATTTTAAAGAATCTGAAATCTTTATCTATTTATCTATCTCTGTATTTAGAACCGACCACTCAAATATTAAACAACCTGTGCCCAGATCATGTACAATAAAGTATTTATGTATTACACAAGCAGTGAAAACACTTTAAAACCACCCCCTATTTATCTCTGTATCTATAGCATTGTGGAGAAAATAAATCTGCACTCTTGGGAAAATAACATGATTGTAGTGGGACTACCCTATGCACTTCAACAGTTAAATGCTTGTTTTTGCCTAGAGTACAAGCAAAGGGCCTTACCTATCCCCTCACAGTTCTTCTTCCTTATTCCCTGTGACCTGGCTCTCAAAACCTCTTTTTCCTTTAGTGTTCCAGCCAGCAGTCATAGTTGTGAAATCATGAGGTACAATGCAGGACTAGTAGTCATGCTATGTAAATCAAGATTCCTAGGGCCTGCCAAAACCTGGAGCGATGAGGTGAGTGCTGCCTGCAGGGAGAATGAAGGCAGGGAGAATGTAAGTCCTTTTTCCTGGTACCCTGGGAAAACAAGCATTTAAGTCTTGCAGTGGTGCAAAGGGATTTTTTTTAATCTCCCCAGTCTTAAGGTTTAATTTTCAAAGTTCACAATGTAGGCATTAAACTGTTAGCTTTTTCTTAAAAGGGCAGATATTGGCAGGCTGTCCGCTCACCAATGTAAACAAACAGCAGATGTTTCTAAGCTGTTAGAAACCCACTAAATCCAACTTCAGAGTGTTTATTGTGATATTTGAGAATGAATATGTTCACATTAAAATCAACTTTTACTGCTTGTTAAATATACAAATGCCTATTATAATATGAAGGCCGAGCAGGAGCACTGCCATCCTGGGTGGACGCCATATGACATCCTCTTAGGATTACGCCTTGTGTGCACCCCACGGTGCCGTACGATCTTTCCACCGGACAGAGCAGATGACAGATCAGTGTACCGGGCCACTGCAATTACCATGTGATTGCTGTGACCAAACACAGCAGATCACATGGCAATTGTACACAATGAATGGCTTCCATTCATTGCCATTCATTGAGTACTATTGTGTTGATCTCTGTGATTGGTCACAGTGATCACATGATACAGACAGGACCAATCACAGTGCATCTGTGCCATGTGTGGCCAATCACAGCTTCACAATAGTTCTCAATGGATGTATTGATGTAATTCATAACAAAAGAAAAATGGTTGGTTATAACAGTGATTATTACTGTTAAATGCAATCAGTAAGAACAAAAAATCCTGATCAACTCCCTAGAGTAGTACAGCATCACTATGGTAATACATTATTTGCTCTGGTCACAGTATGAAAGAATAAAATCATAAAAAAATAGAAACAAAATGTAAAAAAAAATCAAAATATAATAAAACATTGATAAAAAAAAAATATATTTTGTTCCTGATCACTGCCACACCAGTCATATTTATTTCAGGTACTTATATAGCCCTGTCAATTTATGCAGTGCTTTAAATATATATATTGTACATTCACATCAGTACCTAACCTTCAAGGAGCATACAATCTAAGGTCCCTAACTCACATTCATACATACACACATACTGGGGTCAATGAATCTACCAGCATGTCTTTGGAGTGTGGGAGGAAACCGGAGTACCCGGAGAAAACCCACGCAGGCACAGGGAGAGAACACGCAAACTCCAGGCAGGTGGAGCAGTGGCTGGGATTTGAACCAACAACCCTAGTACTGCCAGGCGGAAGTGCTAACCATTTAGCCACTGTGCTGTAGTCATCTGATGATGCTGTACTTGCATTGGTAATTGTATGTGTAAAAAAAAGTGAAAACATTTTTTTTTATTTTCCCAAAAATTGTGACTCAATACCTTGAAGTATCTACTTACCAAAAAGGGGTCATTTGGGGGGTATATGTACTGTCCTAGTACTTTAGCGTCTCAAGAAATGGAATGTACAATACATCAGTGTGTATGTGTATATATATATATATATATATATATGTGTATGTGTATATATATTAATAAACATACATATACACATACACACACACACGTGAAACTCGAAAAATTTGAATATCGTGCAAAAGTTCATTTATTTCAGTAATGCAACTTAAAAGGTGAAACTAATATATGAGTTAGACTCATTACATGCAATGCAAGATAGTTCAAGCCGTGATTTGTAATAATTGTGATTAGAGATGAGCGAATTATTCAAAAATTCGATTCGACTGATTCAGCGAATTCGTGAAAAAATTTTGATTCGAGTCGAATATATTCGCTGCGAATTTAACTTATAAAAGGGTGTTTCTAGGCTTCAGAGAGCCTTTATATTAGTGCAGAACACTGTACCTTTAATTTAAATGCCCTTGGAGTCTGCTGGGGAAGAGAAATAATACTGACAGTCAGTATGACATGCAGATGAGTGCCGTCGATCTTAGAATCACCGCACACTTCACTCATTTGGGCAGTCACGGAGCCAAAACCAGAGTGTGGAGCCACAGTGTGGCGGTGGAGGCAACAGCAATAGGAGGCCATACAGCACCCTATGACAAAAATGGAACCCACCAGCAGTGTGAGGAGACCTGAAAGTGGCACATGGCAGAGTGTGGCGATGGAGACAGCAGCAATGGGAGGCCGTACAGGGACCCATGAGAGACTGTGGACCTGGCAGCAGCATGAGGAGGCGGTACTGGGGCCCATGGCAGATTACTGGCCTGGCAGCAGCAATGGGAGGCCCGTAATCTGCCAGCACCCTATGACAAAAAATGTAACACACCAGCAGTGTGAGGAGACCTGAAAGTGGCACATGGCAGAGTGTGGCGATGGAGACAGCAGCAATGGGAGGCCGTACAGGACCCATGACACACTCTGGACCTGGCAGCAGCATGAGGAGGCGGTACAGGGGCCCATGGCAGATTACGGGCCTGGCAGCAGCAATGGGAGGCCCGTAATCTGCCAGCACCCTATGACAAAAAATGGAACACACCAGCAGTGTGAGGAGACCTGAAAGTGGCACATGATTGGGGCATGATTCAAGGCGGATTTAGTCAGTTGTGTCAGGCAACTGTTGCCGTGTTTTGAAATCCAGACTATCCACGCCTGATTCATTTTCACAAACGTGAGTCTCTCCACACTTTGGGTGGACAGTCGTGTCCTCCGCGGAGTTACAATACCTCCTGCCGCACTAAACACGCGCTCCGATGCCACGCTACTGGCCGGGCATGACAGCCTTTCAAGGGCAAATTCAGCTAGTTGGGCCAAAGGTCAAGTTTCGTTGCCAGTAGTCAAGGGGATTGTCTACCTCGGTTGGCAGGGTGCTGTCCAAGTAGGCCTAAGCCTGTTGTTTGAGGTCCTGCTCCAGGTCCACCTGATGCTGCTGCTGCTGCGGCTGGTTAGTAGTTTCCTCACTGCGCTGGTGAAGAAAGCTACTCATCATCGACTGCAGACTGAGGCAGCCGCTGCTGGTGGAGCTGCCACTGCTCCTACCACCCCACCCCTCCCCTGCTGCCATGGCAGCGGAACGCGAGCGCACAGGGCCCACATGTGTCTGAGGATGGACGTTGGCGCAGAAAGGCAGACCAGCTGACTACATAGGTGGTTTTTATAGTACGTTATTTTGGCCTCCCTCTCAGCAGGTGTGAAAAAGGCCACCATTTTTGAACGGTAGCGAGGGTCCAACAAGGTGGACAGCCCAAAAGTCATCCCTCTGTCTGATGGTTATTATTCGGCTGTCGCTACGCAAGCAAGCGAGCATGCTATGGGCCATTTGTGCCAAGGAATGCGAGGGACTCCCTGCCTCCATCTCCACAGCATACTGCCACGGTGCGTCTGAGTCCTCTGTCTCTCCTCCTCCTCTACCAGATGCTCCTGCTCCTCCACTCCTGTCCGCTGAGTGGAAAAACCACCCATTTCACTCAATAATTCCTGAGCACCAATGTCCTCCTCTACCTCCTCCTCTTCTTCCTGTCCTGCCCCCACAGGGGTCATGTGGCGTTGAGATCTGTGCGCCACGTCTACCGCACCCTGACCAGCCATTGTTAACAGCATTTGTTCCAGGACGTGCAACAGAGGAATGACGTCGTTCATCCCATAGTCCTGCCGACTCACGAATAGCGTGGCCTCCTCAAAGGGCCTGAGCAAGCGCAGGTGTCACGCATGAGCTGCCAATGGCTGACATCTAAGTTACACAGGGAGTACCTTTAGATCCGCTTGTAACATCAGGAAATCTGTGATGGCCTTTCGCTGTTCGTAAAGGCGGTCTACTAACATATGTAGGGTTGAATTCCACCTTGTTGCAACGTCACAGCATGAGGAGTCGGTACGGGGGCCCATGGCAGATTACGGGCCTGGCAGCAGCAATGGGAGGCCCGTAATCTGCCCCTATGACAAAAAATGGAACACACCAGCAGTGTGAGGAGATCTGAAAGTGGCACATGGCAGAGTGTGGCGATGGAGACAGCAGCAATGGGAGGCCGTACAGGGACCCATGAGAGACTCTGGACCTGGCAGCAGCATGAGGAGGCGGTATAGGGGCCCATGGCAGATTAGGGGCCTGGCAGCAGCTATGGGAGGCCCGTAATCTGCCAGCACCCTATGACAAAAAATGGAAACACACCAGCAGTGTGAGGAGACCTGAAAGTGGCACATGGCAGAGTGTGGCGATGGACAGCAGCAATGGGAGGCCGTACAGGGACCCATGAGAGACTCTGGACTGGCAGCAGCATGAGGAGGCGGTACAGGGGCCCATGGCAGATTAGGGGCCTGGCAGCAGCTATGGGAGGCCCGTAATCTGCCAGCACCCTATGACAAAAAATGGAACACACCAGCAGTGTGTGAGGAGACCTGAAAGTGGCACATGGCAGAGTGTGGCGATGGAGACAGCAGCAATGGGTACAGGGACCCATGAGAGACTCTGGACCTGGCAGCAGCATGAGGAGGCGGTATAGGGGCCCATGGCAGATTAGGGGCCTGGCAGCAGCTATGGGAGGCCCGTAATCTGCCAGCAGCACCCTATGACAAAAAAATGGAACACACCAGCAGTGTGAGGAGACCTGACCTGAAAGTGTGGCGATGGGACACATGGCGTACAGGGACCCATGAGACACTGTGGACCTGGCAGCAGCATGAGGAGGCGGTACAGGGGCCCATGGCAGATTAGGGGCCTGGCAGCAGCTATGGGAGGCCCGTAATCTGCCAGCACCCTATGACAAAAAATGGAACACACCAGCAGTGTGAGGAGACCTGAAAGTGGCACATGGCATGAGACACTGTGGACCTGGCAGCAGCATGAGGAGGCGTACAGGTACAGGGGCCCATGGCAGATTAGGGGCCTGGCAGCAGCTATGGGAGGCCCGTAATCTGCCAGCACCCTATGACAAAAAATGGAACACACCAGCAGTGTGTGAGGAGACCTGAAAGTGGCACATGGCAGAGTGTGGCGATGGAGACAGCAGCAATGGGAGGCCGTACAGGGACCCATGAGAGACTCTGGACCTGGCAGCAGCATGAGGAGGCGGTTAGGGGGGCCCATGGCAGATTAGGGGCCTGGCAGCAGCTATGGGGAGGCCCGTAATCTGCCAGCACCCTATGACAAAAAAATGGAACACACCAGCAGTGTGTGAGGAGACCTGAAAGTGGCACATGGCAGAGTGTGGCGATGGAGACAGCAGCAATGGGAGGCCGTACAGGGGACCCATGAGAGACTCTGGACCTGGCAGCAGCATGAGGAGGCGGTATAGGGGCCCATGGCAGATTAGGGGCCTGGCAGCAGCTATGGGAGGCCCGTAATCTGCCAGCACCCTATGACAAAAAATGGAACACACCAGCAGTGTGAGGAGACCTGAAAGTGGCACATGGCAGAGTGTGGCGATGGAGACAGCAGCAATGGGAGGCCCGTACAGGGACCCATGAGAGACTCTGGACCTGGCAGCAGCAGCATGAGGAGGCGGTATAGGGGCCCATGGCAGATTAGGGGCCTGGCAGCAGCTATGGGAGGCCCGTAATCTGCCAGCACCCTATGACAAAAAATGGAACACACCAGCAGTGTGAGGAGACCTGAAAGTGGCACATGGCAGTGTGGCGATGGAGACAGCAGCAATGGGAGGCCTGGACCCATGAGCAGCTCTGACCTGGAGCAGCATGAGGAGGGGTATAGGGGCCCATGGCAGATTAGGGGCCTGGCAGCAGCTATGGGAGGCCCGTAATCTGCCAGCACCCTATGACAAAAAATGGAACACACCAGCAGTGTGTGAGGAGACCTGAAAGTGGCACACATGGCAGAGTGTGGCGATGGAGACAGCAGCAATGGGAGGCCGTACAGGGACCCATGAGAGACTCTGGACCTGGCAGCAGCATGAGGAGGCGGTATAGGGGCCCATGGCAGATTAGGGGCCTGGCAGCAGCTATGGGAGGCCCGTAATCTGCCAGCACCCTATGACAAAAAATGGAACACACCAGCAGTGTGAGGAGACCTGAAAGTGGCACATGGCATGAGTGTGGCGTGGACAGCAGCAATGGAGGCCGTACAGGGACCCATGAGAGACTCTGGACCTGGCAGCAGCATGAGGAGGCGGTACAGGGGCCCATGGCAGATTAGGGGCCTGGCAGCAGCTATGGGAGGCCCGTAATCTGCCAGCACCCTATGACAAAAAATGGAACACACCAGCAGTGTGAGGAGACCTGAAAGTGGCACATGGCAGAGTGTGGCGATGGAGACAGTGGCAATGGGAGGCCGTACAGGGACCCATGGACCTGGACCTTGGCAGCAGCATGAGGAGGCGGTACAGGGCCCATGGCAGATTAGGGGCCTGGCAGCAGCTATGGGAGGCCCGTAATCTGCCAGCACCCTATGACAAAAAATGGAACACACCAGCAGTGTGTGAGGAGACCTGAAAGTGGCACATGGCAGAGTGTGGCGATGGAGACAGCAGCAATGGGAGGCCGTACAGGGACCCATGAGAGACTCTGGACCTGGCAGCAGCATGAGGAGGCGGTAGGGGGGCCCATGGCAGATTAGGGGCCTGGCAGCAGCTATGGGAGGCCCGTAATCTGCCAGCACCCTATGACAAAAAAATGGAACACACCAGCAGTGTGAGGAGACCTGAAAGTGGCACATGGCAGAGTGTGGCGATGGAGACAGCAGCAATGGGAGGCCGTACAGGGACCCATGAGAGACTCTGGACCTGGCAGCAGCATGAGGAGGCGGTATAGGGGCCCATGGCAGATTAGGGGCCTGGCAGCAGCTATGGGAGGGCCCGTAATCTGCCAGCACCCTATGACAAAAAATGGAACACACCAGCAGTGTGAGGAGACCTGAAAGTGGCACATGGCAGAGTGTGGCGATGGAGACAGCAGCAATGGGAGGGCCGTACAGGGGACCCATGAGAGACTCTGGACCTGGCAGCAGCATGAGGAGGCGGTATAGGGGCCCATGGCAGATTAGGGGCCTGGCAGCAGCTATGGGAGGCCCGTAATCTGCCAGCACCCTATGACAAAAAAATGGAACACACCAGCAGTGTGAGGAGACCTGAAAGTGGCACATGGCATGAGACACTGTGGACCTGGCAGCAGCAGCATGATGAGGAGGCGGTACAGGGGCCCATGGCAGATTAGCAGATTAGGGGCCTGGCAGCAGCTATGGGAGGCCCGTAATCTGCCAGCACCCTATGACAAAAAAATGGAACACACCAGCAGTGTGAGGAGACCTGAAAGTGGCACATGGCAGTGTGAGACAGCACAATGTGGACCTGGCAGCAGCATGAGGAGGCGGTACAGGGGCCCATGGCAGATTAGGGGCCTGGCAGCAGCTATGGGAGGCCCGTAATCTGCCAGCACCCTATGACAAAAAATGGGAAACACACCAGCAGTGTGAGGAGACCTGAAAGTGGCACATGGCAGAGTGTGGCGATGGAGACAGCAGCAATGGGAGGCCGTACAGGGACCCATGAGAGACTCTGGACCTGGCAGCAGCATGAGGAGGGGGTATAGGGGCCCATGGCAGATTAGGGGCCTGGCAGCAGCAAAGCTGGCTATGGGAGGCCCGTAATCTGCCAGCACCCTATGACAAAAAATGGGAACACACCAGCAGTGTGAGGAGACCTGAAAGTGGCAGACATGGCGATGAGACACACTGTGGACAGGGACCCAGCAGCACTGAGGACCTGGCAGCAGCATGGAGGACGGTATAGGGGCCCATGGCAGATTAGGGGCCTGGCAGCAGCTATGGGAGGCCCGTAATCTGCCAGCACCCTATGAAAAAAATGGAACACACCAGCAGTGTGAGGAGACCTGAAAGTGGCACATGGCAGAGTGTGGCGATGGAGACAGCAGCAATGGGAGGCCGTACAGGGGACCCATGAGAGACTCTGGACCTGGCAGCAGCATGAGGAGGCGGTATAGGGGCCCATGGCAGATTAGGGGCCTGGCAGCAGCTATGGGAGGCCCGTAATCTGCCAGCACCCTATGACAAAAAATGGAACACACCAGCAGTGTGAGGAGACCTGAAAGTGGCACATGGCATGAGACACTGTGGATCTGGCAGCAGCATGAGGAGGCGGTACAGGGGCCCATGGCAGATTAGGGGCCTGGCAGCAGCTATGGGAGGCCCGTAATCTGCCAGCACCCTATGACAAAAAATGGAACACACCAGCAGTGTGAGGAGACCTGAAAGTGGCACATGGCAGAGTGTGGCGATGGAGACAGCAGCAATGGGAGGCCGTACAGGGACCCATGAGAGACTCTGGACCTGGCAGCAGCATGAGGAGGCGGTATAGGGGCCCATGGCAGATTAGGGGCCTGGCAGCAGCTATGGGAGGCCCGTAGATGCTGCCAGCACCCTATGACAAAAAATGGAACACACCAGCAGTGTGAGGAGACCTGAAAGTGGCACATGGCATGAGACACTGTGGACCTGGCAGCAGCATGAGGAGGCGGTACAGGGGCCCATGGCAGATTAGGGGCCTGGCAGCAGCTATGGGAGGCCCGTAATCTGCCAGCACCCTATGACAAAATGGAACCCTGGGCTGGGGCGGCAGAGAACCGCCGTATCTTTATCACGGTTTTCCCAGGCCACCAAATGGCGACGCTGCATATGCTGCCGCAACGCTGTAGTCCCAACATGGGCCCCTGGCCACGCTTGACTTTCTGGCCACATAGTCGACATACGGCTACGTTTACTTCCTCGGGCGGCTTGACAAAAAATTGCCACACCGCCGAGTAGGAAACTTTGCCCCCGATACTCCTCACTGGCTGACTGCTGCTTCCTCCGTGCACACCGGCACCACTACTGGCCGTGGTGGTAGGCTGCAGTGGAGCTGGTGCTGTACTCCGTGGCCGTTTGCCTCCACTGACACTGCTGCGACCCTGCTGCCTCCTGGGCAACCCACCGACTGTTTTGCTCGCTGCCAAGCTGCCACCCCCTCTTCTCCTGATGATGCGGAAGCAATAGCCTGATGACGACGAGGCTGCCAAGTGCGATCAGCCTCATCATCATCAATTAGGGTCTCCGCCTCACTACTAGCCCCCTCGGCTGCGTGTGGGTCAGGAGACAGACCTGTCTCTAGACCGGCTACCGAGCCACTCTCCTCGCCACTACTTCTTCGCCTGGCTGCTGAAGAGGCGGATGTCTCCCCCCGTTCCTGACCGCCCTCTGTTAGCTCTTCCTCACTGTACAGTGGGGCTGAGCCCACAGCATACGATACTTCGCTTGGTGAGGGAACACCAAAGGACAGGGGCAGGTCGAGGACACGTGATTTCAGTGGGCTTGCTCCCGGGCCATGCCAACTAACGGTTGTGTCTGACGTACCCACCGACCGTTGGCTGTAGGTGTCAGAGGTGACCTGGGAAGAGGAAGACGACCGAGCCAACCAATCGATGACGGCAGGGTTGTCGGTGGAGACACGACCGCTGGATGACACCGGGAGCACTGGCCTCTGGCTGCGACTAGTGCTGCCTCGACCCCTTCCTCTGCTGCCACGTCTGCTCGCTCCTAAAACATTGCCTCCTCTGCCACTCCTGCATGTCTGACATACTCTTTAATTGTTGTCTGACATACTCTTTAATTAAAACGATTCTGTGTCCCTGAGTAACAATTCTGTGTCTGTCCCTGAGTAACAATTCTGTGTCCCTCAGTAACAATTCTGTGTCCCTCAGTAACAATTCTGTGTCCCTGAGTAACAATTCTGTGTCCCTCAGTAACAATTCTGTGTCCCTCAGTAAACAATTCTGTGTCTGTCCCTGAGTAACAATTCTGTGTGTCCTGAGTAACAATTCTGTGTCCCTCAGTAACAATTCTGTGTCCCTCAGTAACAATTCTGTGTGTCCCTCAGTAACAATTCTGTGTCCCTGAGTAACAATTCTGTGTCTGTCCCTGAGTAACAATTCTGTGTCCCTGAGTAACAATTCTGTGTCCCTCAGTAACAATTCTGTGTCCCTCAGTAACAATTCTGTGTCCCTCAGTAACAATTCTGTGTCCCTCAGTAACATTCTGTGTCTGTCCCTGAGTAACAATTCTGTGTCTGTCCCTGAGTAACAATTCTGTGTCCCTCAGTCAAGTAACAATTCTGTGTCCCTCAGTAACAATTCTGTGTCCCTGAGTAACAATTCTGTGTCCCTGAGTAACAATTCTGTGTCCCTCAGTAACAATTCTGTGTCCCTCAGTAACAATTCTGTGTCCCTGTCAGTAACAATTCTGTGTCCCTGAGTAACAATTCTGTAACAATTCTGTGTCCCTCAGTAACAATTCTGTGTCCCTCAGTAACAATTCTGTGTCTGTCCCTCAGTAACAATTCTGTGTCTGTCCTCAGTAACAATTCTGTGTCCCTCAGTAACAATTCTGTGTCCCTCAGTAACAATTCTGTGTCTGTCCCTGAGTAACAATTCTGTGTCCCTGAGTAACAATTCTCTGTCTGTCCCTGAGTAACAATTCTGTGTCTGTGTCCCTGAGTAACAATTCTGTGTCCCTCAGTAACAATTCTGTGTCCCTGAGTAACAATTCTGTGTCTCAGTAACAATTCTGTGTCCCTCAGTAACAATTCTGTGTCCCTCAGTAACAATTCTGTGTCCCTCAGTAACAATTCTGTGTCCCTCAGTAACAATTCTGTGTCCCCTCAGTAACAATTCTGTGACAGTAAAATTCTGTGTCCCATGTAACAATTCTGTGGTCCCTCAGTAACAATTCTGTGTCCCTCAGTAACATTCTGTGTCCCTAGAGTAACAATTCTGTGGCCCCCTCAGTAACAATTCTGTGTCCCTGCAGTAACAATTCTGTGTAAGGAGTAACAATTCTGAGCCCCTGGGCAGTAAGGGAATTCTGTGTAGAAGTAACAATTCTGGGTCCCTGTATGTAACACAATGTACTCAATAGTAACAATTCTGTGTGTCCCCAACATCATTTAGCATTAGTAACAATTCTAAACGTTTCTGTCCCTGGAGTAACAATTCTGTGTGTCTCAGTAACACCTTCTGAGGAAAACCAGTGACAGTAACAATTCTGTCTGCCTTACGTGGAAAGTCTAACAATTCTGTGTCCCTCAGTCAAAGGGGTATGTGTGTCTCTTCCCTAAAAGTAAAATATTCTGTGAGAGAGAGTGGAAATGCTTCCTTTGTGCAGTAACATTCTGTGCGCTACATTTACATATAACAATTCTGTATTTGTGGCTTGGGGAGGAATTCAGGGTCTGTGCCCTCAGTAACAATTCTGTGTCCCTCAGTATGGTGTTTTACTGTTGCGATCAGTAACGCAATTCTGTGGTGTCCCAGAAGTAACAATTCTGTGTCCTCCCTGAGTAACAATTCAGGTCCCAGTAACTCTGTGCCCAAGTAACAATTCTGTGTCCATACACAGTAACTCTTGTGGTTTGGACCCCTCCCCCAGAGTCAATGTGGCCCTGAGAGTAACAATTCTGTGCCCCCCAGTAACAATTCTGTGTCCCCAGTAACAATTCTGTGCATGGACTGAGTGGACAAGTGTGATTCGTACGGAGCTGGTTCTGTTGCCCGGAGTAACAAGTTTCTGTGTGCTCCCGCAGTAAGTGTTATTCTGTCTTTTTAGTTCCCTTTTATTTTATGTAATTAGTAACAATTTGTGTGTCTTCTTATATCTTTGTATTTGCTGTAACAATTCTGTTTATCTTTGTAACAATTCTATGCACTGTAACAATTTTGTGGTCCCTCAGTAAATTCTGTGTCCCTAATTAGTAACAATTCTGTGTACTTGTCCCTCAGTAACAATTCTGAGTCCCTAGAGTAAGATTTCTGTGGCCCTATATTGTATTGTATTTCTGTGCCCTAAAACAATTCTGTGTCCCTCAGTAACAAATTCTGTATGCCCTGCAGTAACAGTTCTGTTCCGCAGGTTGCAAAGGTAACAATTCTGTCCCAGAGTAACAATTGTGTGTGTGGTCCCTCAACAGTAACCATTCTGCGGAGTAAACTTTGGGTGTGGCAGGCTAAGTAACAATTCTGTGGTCCCTGTCTAGTGGGGGGTGTGTGGACAGTAACAATTCTGAAGGGTTATCAACACCGGGGTTCAATTCTGTGATCCCTGAAACCTTTCTGTGTGTGATTACCCTAAGTAACTCTAATCTGGGCACCAGGTTGTATGTAAGATCCTATCTGCCAGTCCGTAAGTCGACCAATTCTGGATTGGAGTGGAGTAACCATCTGTGGTCCCCAGAGGTAGTGCTGTGGCTGTGAAAAGGTATCACTGTGATCCTTAGTATACGGTTTGAGATCCCTAAGTAAAATCCCTTTATTTAGCCCCTCAGTAACAATTCTGTGTCGCCCTGCGTAACAACGGTTCTGCTCCCGATGTAGGCAATTCTGTGGTAAGGACACGTGACTGGGTGATCGTAACGAATCTGTGACCCTCAGTAACAATTCTGTGTCTGTCCCTGAGTAACAATTCTGTGTCTGTCCCTGAGTAACAATTCTGTGTCCCTAAGTAACGTTTCTGTGGCCCTAAGTAACGGTTCTGTGGCCCTCAGTAACAATTCTGTGTCCCTCAGTAACAATTCTGTGTCCCTCAGTAACAATTCTGTGTCCCTCAGTAACAATTCTGTGTCTGTCCCTGAGTAACAATTCTGTGTCTGTCCCTCAGTAACAATTCTGTGTCCCTCAGTAACAATTCTGTGTCCCTCAGTAACAATTCTGTGTCCCTAAGTAACGTTTCTGTGTCCCTCAGTAACAATTCTGTGTCCCTCAGTAACAATTCTGTGTCTGTCCCTGAGTAACAATTCTGTGTCTGTCCCTGAGTAACAATTCTGTGTCCCTCAGTAACAATTCTGTGTCCCTCAGTAACAATTCTGTGTCCCTCAGTAACAATTCTGTGTCCCTCAGTAACAATTCTGTGTCTGTCCCTCAGTAACAATTCTGTGTCTGTCCCTGAGTAACAATTCTGTGTCCCTCAGTAACAATTCTGTATCCCTCAGTAACAATTCTGTGTGTCCCTCAGTAACAATTCTGTGTCCCTAAGTAACAATTCTGTGTCTGTCCCTGAGTAACAATTCTGTGTCCCTAAGTAACGTTTCTGTGGCCCTAAGTAACGGTTCTGTGGCCCTCAGTAACAATTCTGTGTCCCTCAGTAACAATTCTGTGTCTGTCCCTAAGTAACAATTCTGTGGCCCTAAGTAACGTTTCTGTGTTCTGCCCTAAGTAACGATTCTGTGGCCCTAAGTAACGATTCTGTGGCCCTAAGTAACAGTTCTGTGGCCCTCAGTAACAATTCTGTGTCCCTCAGTAACAATTCTGTGTCTGTCCCTAAGTAACAATTCTGTGTCTGTCCCTAAGTAACGTTTCTGTCCCTAAGTAACGTTTCTGTGGCCCTAAGTAACAGTTCTGTGGCCCTCAGTAACAAATCTGTGTCCCTCAGTAACAATTCTGTGCCCTAAGTAAACGTTTCTGTGGCCCTAAGTAACGATTCTGTGGCCCTAAGTAACGTTTCTGTGGCCCTAAGTAACGATTCTGTGTCCCTCAGTAACAATTCTGTGTCTGTCCCTAAGTAACAATTCTGTGTCTGTCCCTGAGTAACAATTCTGTGTCCCTAAGTAACGTTTCTGTGGCCCTAAGTAACAGTTCTGTGGCCCTCAGTAACAATTCTGTGTCCCTCAGTAACAATTCTGTGTCCCTCAGTAACAATTCTGTGTCT